GCCCCATGGGGGGTACTCAAACCTTGGATGATTTTCAACTATATTACACCATAATATTATACAGCATCCAATCTTCGGAAGGCTTGCTGGCAGGCATGGCGTCGAAAAGGTCCTCCCGACGCTACTGCTCGCAACTGAAGCAACGGACGAGCCGAATCGACAGACGGCCTGTATCATTGTTATTATGATACGATCATTTTTTTTCCTTTGGAGTTAGCTTGCTTCGGGTATTGGGAAATTTTAGAAATATCTCTCTTCCTGTTAAGTGCTGAGCAAGTCCTTCACCAGCATCTTCCGTTCCACATTTTTTCTCTATCATGAGATTAAAAAGGAGAAGAGAGGTTTCATCATTAACTTTATGCCACGGCGCCCAGCCCACAAGACCACAACCCCGAGGCAGCTCCCCCAGCCGGCAGGCAACCGCACCCCAGTACCGTACGGTATCTTCAGTTATGGTATGATACCAGTAGAGCGCTGTAGGCTAAGCCCTTCAAACACTCAAATTCTCAGTGTAGCCCCATCGACGGGCTCGGGGGATTCGCCACCCCCGGGTTCGACTCGTGTTCCATAGCTGCGCTCCCACAAGTCGGCAAGGTCTTTACAGATTGCAGCCCCGCTCGCCGAATCAGGCAAATTTTGGGTTGAAATGTGCAAGCAACATACGGTAGGGTAAGCTAAGATTACAAGTATATTGATTGGATGGTGGTGGTTCTGGCGGGGTACCGTATTCCGTTAGAGAGTACCGTAGCCTGGGTGGTCAGGATTGAAGGCGCAGCACTTGGCGCGGGTTGTGCGAGCCCGGTAACGAAAAGTACCGTATTGAACCGGTTGAGATTAGGAAGCGGATTGCAAGGCGGTGGCGGGAGGGACAAGTGTTATCATAGGAAGAGATCCAGCAGGCTGGACCGCCGCGCAGGATGCGCCGGGCTCTTAAGATGGTAGTGACACCGGTACTGAAGCATTAACGAATTAGGTCTTTCACAGCTTCACTAGATTGGCCCATCTTCGACGCCTCGGCTAACTATTTGGACAGTTACCGCTTGCACCAGCCAGTCGCATGTAGACCAATGAACTAGTGAAAGCTCAGAAGCTAGTGACGGGCAGTACAGTAGCATCGCAGTCGGTATTGTATCGTACTCGAGCACAGCACGAGGGTCAAGCATGAAAAAGCGGTATGATACTTGCACTAGGGGTTGGCAAAGGTAGGGACCACCTCCACCAGGAGGTGTGGAATTTGTGTGAGACTCCTGGTAAAACAGAGGAAAGGAGAAGTGGCGATTGCTCAAACACCTTGCTAGGTGAAGACTTGTGTTACCGTAACCAAAATGCCCTTTATTCGAGTACTGAGTACTAGTACATCCGAGTACTATACTATACTATGCACTACGAGCGCAAAAGGGTGCGGAGCCGGGTACCACCAGCAATGATGCCGATTTTAGCCAGAATTCGTAGCACGCAGCAACCGGCTCTCCCGGAGACGCAAACTTTCCGCTCCTCAGCAAGAAACCGGAGGGTTTTTTCTTGTTTGTTTGATGTATTGGACCAGGGGTCAGGCGGCTCGTCCGTCGAGTATACTGACTGACGGAATTGGAAATTTTATTAGAGATCCTGCCGGGTCGTAATTCTCAGCCGTACTCGAGGACACCGCTACTGTAATTTCTAGTTATCATACCAGTATAGTACACGCCATATGTGCCACCACGGGTATTTTACCCCTAACCCCCCTCCTGTGCACTGCGACAGTACTTGTACTCGAGTACTCGTACTTGTATTGGCCCCATCACACCCGTCCCTCACGTAAGAACACTTGTACTGTACTGTACTAGTACAGTACAGGTGCAACCTGCGGTAAAAAAGAAAAAAAACCGGAAAACCGGGGTCACAAGTATACAGTAGTAAAAGCGCGGAAACCGATTGGCTCGAGACACCCAATTTTCCAATCAGAACCCCAGAATCCTGTGTCTCATTTTCCGATTTATTACTGGTCCTTGAGTATGATACCGGTACGGTTTTTTACCGCGGAGCGTAAAGCATACTCCCGCACAGGGCCGTTAAACCCATAACCGAAATCCCCCTCGGTGTAACCCACCTACACCCTGCACCCACAAACCCGCCATTTCGGGCAGAAACGCAAACTTCCAGAAGATACCCCCCGACACACGTTGCGACACACACAGGAAAAACCGTCTCCGCCCCTCGCAAACGCAACACGACCCAACGCGGTTCCCAAGCTCAGCCCCACAATCCACGAGTAACAAATTCCGGTAAGGGTAAGCCAGACAGAATAAGAAGGCCAGCCAGCCAGCCCCACCAACGGTTTTTCGGACAATTAATTAGGGTTAGGGTTATTAACGATAGTACCATTAGTCATGGCTGACATAGTTGTCCTCATTTCCACACAACCTGTTTTCCATAATTGAATAACTATTCTGGTGGTTCCCGCTTGATCAGTTCAGCTCCGTTCCCCGTGCTCATAACGTGATGAAATAATTTGGGTAGAATCTGACAACCCCATCTAAAATATCTTTTAGTTATGTAAATACTTGAATCTTCATTAAAGTACTTACTTCTTACTGGAGTGCTCATTCTAGGCGGGAAATCACTGAAAGATGAAAGCGCTTGCATTGAAACTACTCGATGGTTATGATAAGCGCATATCTTCGAAGTTGCCCCTGGTGTGGAGTGCAGAACTAGACGGAGTTCTCATCGTTGCCATCACTGCCTTCACGCTTTCCTCACTCGCCTACAGTATCTCTGTGTGCTCTGTTGCGCTGTATGAGGATCGCAGGTAGGCTCTACCGTTGCGAAGGAGGAGGAGTGAAGGAAGGAGGTCGGGATAAGATTCTTATGAAGGGCTTGGCGGGGTGGATCAGGGTAACATGCTGAGGGATTGAGGGAAGGCTATTTTCGGAGGTTGGAGTTGGGAGACGTTGGCGTGTGCTGCACGTGGTCCGGGTGCTTGGAAGATACCAGTACAATGGCAGGCAAGTCTGGAGAAAACCTTTCCAATAAGTTACCGGTACTGTACCTTGCTTTCCTGCGCGTGCCATCCTTGGCCAAGACATGCCATGAAAAAAAAGGTTTTCACATAGCAACAGCAAAATACCCAGAGACTGTTGGAATCCTTTCATCCTTCAAATAACCCGGACAAATTTGAAAGAAAATTATAATATCATAAAACTCAAGGCTCGCAGGTACTTTTTCCAGTTCTTTCCTGCAATTTTTGAGGACAAACCGGGTCCGAGTCTTGTAGTGAAAGGTTGTAGTGCTCTCCTTGAAAATTCTTTGACAACCAAACCACACCCTTCTAAGCAAGGGCAAACAAACACACAGAAATCCTTTCTAACTGTAAAAACAAATCAAATATCGGGCCGCTCATCGGGTTTGTCTGTGCTCTTTTCAATTTGTTTTTTTGAATTCTCTCCACCATTTTGTAAAGGGCCAAAGGTGAGGTGATTCTTTGGAAGGTTTCGCTTTTCTGATGGTATACCGGTATCTCCCGGGCGATGGTGTCGGAAAAGTTTGTTGCCAAGTGCATAGTGCCGGTACGAGTATTGAAAAGGTTGCTGACCCGGCAAGTATCCGAAATCGGGGGTCGTAAGTTTGTATGGGGGCTCAGATATGCACGCATTTTATGCCATGCACTCAAGTATTTTGCGAATCCCTGTTTTCGGGTATTTCTTGCCCACTGCTCGAGCACGAGTACCGGTACCGGGACAATAATGCGAGAACGAGATTGGCGAGGGGTGTGTGGATGTGCTCGAGTACTGAGGGGATTTTCTCCGGATGGTAGGGGCTCTACGGTAGGAGTGGGTGAGGACGAGGAGGAGGAGAGGAGAGAAGAGTTCATGGAACCGTATCATATTGGAATGGTCCGTGATTTGAAGGGGATAAACAGAAACTATCATAAATTACCGTGGATGTATGGACAGCTGACAATGGATGGTGATAGCCAGGGGGTGATCTTTGTGGTGGAGATGCATCTCATGCACATCCGACGAGCAAGGCGCCTGCACTGCTGCGCTTGAGCCCTGTCCACAGCAAGTCTGCAAATTTCCTGGGTCTGTTCCTGCAGTCCTGAGTTTGCTTGGGTGAGTGAGCGAGCCGACGGATACGGCATCGTGTCCTATTTATCGTTTGCCCCTGCTCTTGCACCCAAGACAAACAAAACAATGTGGTGAGCCTCATGATGGCTTTTCGTTCAACCCACTACACGAGTATGATACAGTACAAGTAACACTACTCTAAACCGAGGACACAATCGCATCTATTAACTTGGCTTCCATCCATTGTCCGAGGTTTGGATCCCTCTCACTACCCCCTTTTGTGAGGTCAGTGAAGGTGAGAAGGGCATAGAAAGCACTCGGGTGATTTCTTTTCCTTTCCCCCTTCCTTCCTTCCTCTCTTTTCTTTTTTGTCGATCCTGGTCATAGTGGCCGCAGTGAGGAGGACACGTTTTGTTCCCGTCCAGAGGCCATAATAACGCCCCGGTCCTCCTGCGAGAGGCCGAGGGACTGGAGGGGAAAGAATAGAAAACCACACCGACGGAAAGAGAGTTCTATTGGTTGGGGAAGACTTTAGGTGAAGCACCCGGGGAACGAAAGGAGAAGCATATCATATTACCGGTGAACCATAGTACCGTACTGTACCCACCTTCATCCATCAAGACAACTTTCCCTGGGTTCGTCCCTTCTCCCGCATTTCACCATTTCCCCGTTCCACCTCCTGAGTCCACGCAACATTTTTTTTCTTTTTCCTTCTTTCCTTTCCTTGTACTTTTTTTTTTCCCTTTCATCTTTTCCCCTTCTTCTTCCTTTACCTCCCTATTCCCCTCAACAGTAACACACACCCCATTAACCCTCCAATTTCACCGGCAGATTGGCGGAATGGTTCTGGGTCACCATTCTTTGACACGCCAGCGGCGGTCGTCCCTTTGCGGCCTGTCCTCATCGAATTCATTTCTAGACACCGACCCAGCAGCACCGATTTCATCATCAGCAATGTCCACGACAATCACCGAGGCATTGACAGGGAAGGTCCCATTCGATGTTCCGTACACCCTGCTCTCGGGCAGGCACTGGACAACAGCACAAGCACACAAACCACCCTCAAACAAGTTCGTCCAGCCACCGCCCACGGCGAAACACGTCAATCCCGCATGGGGCCGATTTTCCGGAAATGAGTGGGTTACGGTGATGGGCTGTAGCGCCATTGTGCTTTTCTGCCCACTGCTAGCCCTCCTCGCGTGCGTTTGTCTGAAGCATTTCGATGGTGGTTTGTTACCGACGCTGTGGGCCTTCATGACGACGCACCCGGTGGAATTCATTGTTAGGTATGCCCCCCGGCCTACGGCTGGTGCCTCGGCAGCCTATGCGGGCTGGTTGTTATTCCAGGCGGCGCTGTATGCATGGTTGCCCAGTCCCATCGGGTACGGACAACGTACGCCCGCCGGACATCTTCTGCCGTATCGTGTGAACGGTATTCACGCCTGGGTCGTTACGCATGTGGTCTCTGTGGTTGCGGTTTACACTGGCATGTTGGATCCAGCGGTAATCGCCAAGAATTGGGAAGGGTTGTTGGTCGTGGCGAATGTTTACGGCTATCTTCTTGCCGTGGTGGCTTATTTGAAAGCGCACCTGTTCCCGACCCATGAGGCGGACAGAAAATTCAGTGGTGCGTTTTCCGAGTCAGCAAACCTGAGTTTCTATTGTCTCTCTCTCTGGGGGGAAGGGGTTTTTTTTTTTGAGGTCGAGGTAGAAAAATGGCTAACTGATGGCTTTCAGGTTCCATGGTTTATGACTTTTACATGGGGATCGAGTTAAACCCAAGGTTCGGTGAATGGTGGGATTTCAAATTATTCCACAATGGGCGACCGGGGATCGTTGCCTGGACCCTGATGTAAGCTTGGACCCTCACCACCCTCACCATTTTCACACACCAGAAAATGGGGCTCGCGGGTGACTGATTAGTGGTGTGCTAATCTTGTCCCTAGCAACCTCTCATTCGCCGCTTGGCAGTTCCAATTGCACGGATACATTTCCAACTCTATGATTATTGTCAACATCCTTCATGCATTTTATGTCGTGGACTTTTTCATCAACGAGGATTGGTATCTGCGCACCATTGATATCTGTCATGATCATTACGGATTTTACCTCGCGTGGGGGAGTATGGTCTGGTTGCCCGGAACGTACACTTTGCAAGCGCAGTATCTGGCACGATACCCGGTTGACCTGTCGACGCCGGTCGCGGCCGCGATACTCTTGATCGGCATCTCGGGGTACGTCGTTTTCCGCAGCGTGAATTATCAAAAGGATATTGTCCGGAGAACCAACGGGGAGTGTAATATATGGGGCAAGAAGGCGGAGGTGATACGCACGACCTACAAAACTGAGGACGGAAAAATGCACGAATCATTACTCCTTTGCTCGGGTGCGTACATTCTTCCCACATTATTGTTATCCCGCTCGGTGGCACAAAACTGACCCGTGCATCGTAGGATGGTGGGGAATCGTTCGTCACGCGAACTACCTGGGGGATTTGGTGCTTTCGTACAGCGGATGCGCGGTGTGCGGGGTGCATAATATCCTGCCCTGGTGGTACGCAGTTTTCATGACGGCCTTGCTGCTCCAACGGTGCGTGAGAGATCACTCGCGGTGCTTGGGGAAATATGGGGAAGATTGGGAAAGGTATTGCGGAAGGGTGAAATGGAAGTTGATTCCGGGCGTTTATTAGAGGGTTGTTTGTTTGTAGGGTAGAGTAGACGTGTTTTTTTCCTCTTCCCCACCCCCTTTGTCTCTGTCTCTCCTTCCCTCCCTCTGTCTGTCGGTTAGCCTTTCTGTGTATAGTACAGTACCTTCATACCTACCTGCATACATACATATGGTGGTGCGCTGCGAGGTACAGTGGGACTGTGAATAAGCTTGAAGGACAGTAGTTGATCAGCGAAGGGTTGGTAGGTTATGAGATGCTGCACTGTAAAGCGCTGTGGAGCACGGCTCGTACCGCGTGATTGCAGCAAGAAGAGTGATTACAAGCAGGACACCCGCAGTATACATGTGTGAACAACGAGTGCTGCACCGTATAGTGCGGGTAAGGTCGGGTAGAGAAAGGGGCGCAAGAGTTACGGTATCATAGGTAACTTACAGTACGTATGTTACAGTGCTGTGCGATTTAACGCTACTCGTACTTGTACAGTCCCGTGACTCGGTTAAGCGGGCCGCCACTAAGCTTCCGCGCCCGTGAAACAGGCTACGGTAATTTACCGACACACGACATTACTTGGTGAATTAAAAAATACAGGTGCTCGAGTATTCTGCAGACTGGACGACAAAAGGAAAAATTTGCCCCAATTCCTGACCCTTCCCACCCATCTAACTTCCACTCTTACAGTACGAGTACTGTACAGTAAAGTACTTTACCTAAATTTATCCACCACCTTCCCACCCTACTCGAGTAGGGTAATACTCGAGTAATAAACCTCTTCCTCTTCTCTCCTGTTCCACCCTATCCCGCTCATTCATCCATCGTCTTCCCTCTCGCTCTCCCTTATGCACGATCGTGTGCGCACCTTTGTGAACCGCCCACCATCCTACCGTAACTGGACCTCTCCTCCTATCTTTCACCTACCGTGCTTAAGGCCTGCAACCAATCATCTCGATTTTAAACTTTGCCGGTCACACCACCACCGCCATCACACCTACACAGGCCCATCCATCCATCCTTCTCGCCTTTACTTCCGCCCCTTCCCCTTTCACTCTTTCCTTTCTTTTTCTTTTCCTTTTTCACTTTTTTTCTCTCCTCTCTTGCCACAGATAAATAGTATAACCTCTCCTCCTTCTCCCCCCTTTTTTATTTTTGTTTGTTTCTTTGATTGTTTGTTACTGACTTCGTGCCCACTCATCAGGGGAAATCGACAAAATGCCTCGTAAACAAACAAACTCATGGGGGGACCCAATTCACTTCTCGCAATCTTCGACCGCCGGACAAGAGTACCCGGGACCCTCCCCGCATGCAGAAATGAGCTGGACCGTCTGCTACGACGACGACTGCGAAATACATCTTTGCGAGAAACAGGGCTCTGGGTGGTTCCCCAAGAGGAAGGGCAGGAAGGGTCCGAGGAATGGGAAGGGGAAGGGGAAAGGGAAGGGTGCGAGGAGGGATCTTGACGAAGACGATCCGGAGAATAGACCCTGGGGAGACGATGGGGATGGGGGAGGGTGTCCCATTCCTACCGAGGAGGAGGTGAAGGTTATACTGGCCAGGAAGGCTGCTCGTGAGGCTGCAGAGGCGAAGGCGGCGGCGGCGGCGGCGGTGTCAGGGGTAAAGAAGGGTGTTCGGATTGGGCAGGAAGAGGAGGCGAAGCCCAAGGCGAGGGTTGGCGGTGGGGTGAAACCAAAGGCGGTGCCTGAGGTTAAGAGTGACTGGGCAGAGAGGATTCGCGAGCTGTTGGCCGGGGGTGTAAAGGCGGGCGGGGGTGTCCGTTTGAATACTTTAAAGTGCGACAACGATTCCTCTGGGCGGTTTCCGGCTGGCGCAATTGCGAAACCCGTGTCTTCGGCAGGGAATCCTACTCCCGCGGTGGCGAAACACGAACCTCGCAGTGGAAAGGGACAATTTCCTTCCCCAAACAGAAATGCGATTGCGCCGGCGAACCTCAATCCTGACCTTGAGAAGAAACTGTTTACCTCTCCGCCTATCACAACTGCCAAGACTCCTCAAAAGATACATTTAACTTCTTCACATACCACCGCTCTGGGTACACCCACAGAGCACAACCCCACCTCTGAGAAGAAGCGGTCTACTTCTCCGCCTGTTACCACTACACATGCGCCGGCGATACCCAACCCTCATCTCGAGAAGAAACAACGATTCGCTTCCTCGCCCCCGACCAACCCTCATCAAAAAAAGCAACCTCTCCAACCTCGTAAAGACCAAGGCAAGATAAACCTGTACACAAAACCACCCAAGACGTCTGATCAGAATCCTCTTGTCGCGGCTTCCGTTCCAACAGCGGCAATCACTGCGAGGGTAGCGGTAAAGGCGAAACTTGCAGCTGAGCGGGAAGAAAAGCTCCCGCAAATGGTCAAAAATAAGCGGATGATGGGAGCGAAGGCGGGCGTGGTCTAGACGGTTTGCTCTCATATATCTCCTTTTGAAGCAGTGTGAGGGATTTCTTCGTTATCATTACTTTTTGGCTTTACTTTCCATATTTTTTTTTTTGACGGCTTTCGGAGTGCTTGCCTGGTTGGCTGCTGAGTTTAGTTTTTCCTTTGTTACGTGGGTCATTCTGTTTGTCTGAATTTTATTTTTATTTTCTTCACTCTTTCCTGTCAGGTGTTTATCAGCATGGGTTGAATAAGTTTCGTTCGCATGATTTTTTCACTGGATTTTCGAAGATGGGAGTGATTCGCTACCGCGGTATTATTACCCATATACACTGATTGACGTTTGCTACTACACAATACGGAATAAATGTGAGGGAGTGGATAGGGAGCATGTTGTTGGCGGTTATATCTTAGACATGATAGACAGATGGATAGCTAGCTTGGCTGCTAATTGAGTACGTTCTTTGGGCTGGAATGAAAATTAGACTATAGCTAATCTCATTGGTTTCCCTGGTTGTGTGATATTTGCTTGAAAGTGCGCGTGGAGAATACGTTATCCACAGAGCTCAAAATGACGTAGGCCAGAGGTATAGGTTGGGTGTCGCAAACACAAGTGTCGGTATTATACGAGTACAGTACTCCGTGGGGAGGCAACTCAAATGGGATATAGACTAGTCTAGCCTACTCATAGGAGAGAGGGGCGATGCTCTCGGCCAGAGCCATGAGAAAAAGGTTTGCGTTGAAGAGGTCCACAACTTCAAGGATCTAATCTACATTGCGTTCAGTACCCACAGATTTCATAAATTGTTCTTGAATGGCGCAGCCTTCACGATAGGGCAACCCTCACTTTTTGGTTTGCCTCTATCATAGGCTCATGGCAAATTTTCTGGTTCTCCACTATGATATTGTTTATGATACCACGAGTATGATACCGGTACCCGGGTAAAGTTTGCCTAACATACAATTTTCCTGGGTTGGTGGGACGCAGACTCCATATCCGGACACTTGTTTAAGTTAAGCCAAAGCCTCCTCCCCCACCTGGGACATATCTCCTCCATAGACCCCCGGCGTATCAGAACACTATTGTGTGAGCGCCACACCTACAGCGCAGTAGCTCACCGAACATCGCTCGGAGCCATCATGACATTCCCGAGCACTTTAATCTTCCGTTTCTATTTTTATTTTTATTTTTTTTTCCGCGCAAAAATGCTCACTCATTTCTCAAAATGTCCCGACCGCTGGTTTGGCCCACCTTGATGTGGTTGGTGGGCCTGTTTAAAAAATCGCGAGGTCAATCTCTTGAAGTTTTCACTTGTATTAATCATAAATTTATTTACAATGAGTCTATCAACGGAAATAGCCGTGCATGGGAACCTTTTAAAGTTTGGAATGGGTCGGGACGGAATTGCGAAAGAAAAAACACCCCCTGAGATCCCGGCAACTTCCCCCGTTGGGCTGATCCAGAAGGAATCCTTGTCAGATTTATGTTTCTGAATCCGGAGATTATTGTAGTACGGTACTGTGCTCGGGTAGGTACTTATATCAGCGGTACGACGGGAACTACGCCCAAAAGTACTGGGGGGAAATGGGTAAGTTATTTGGGCGGAAAACTGGCTCGATGCACGCCAAGACAGGAGAGGAATGGGGGATGGAATGTGCGTGTTGATGGAATGCCAGCGTTGGGAGTGTTTGACGATTTAGGGTCCCCGGCGGATGGTCGGTATGAGCAAAAAAAAAAAAAACAGGACTGGAATGGTGAGGACAACACTTTTTTTCAAAGTTTTCCTTTCCTCACTTGAGATTTTCCGCTGACAGGCTTCAATACAGGCGTTCTGTCCCCTTGCCTCTGTTTTGGCGGAAATCCTATCGGATTTCCGGTACTCTAATTTCACTTTCCCTCTCGATCCTCTCGTGCGTGATTTTTTTGCGTGAATATATACCCGCAAACACGGTAGCCAAGAATCTGAGCATTCAAAGTCCCAATTATCTGTTGCCGATAGCAGGGGTTTTTCCTTGTCTGGGTGGTTCCGTGCAGAGGAGCTACGAATGGCGGTGTAGGGGCAAAAATCTTGTATGTGTGTATGTATGCATGCCTGGAGAAGAAAGGTGTTTAATGTGAAAATTGCTGATTTCGGATACTCACCCACTTCCCGGACCCGCTGGGAGATACCCAGGATTTCAGTGCGTTGCGGGGGGTGAATCAATGCTTGCACGGGGGGTTTTTTTTCTTTCTCTTCTTCCATAGTGACTAAGGGTTGCATTTTTTGGCATCACCACACGGAACTTTAATGGAGACGTGTACTGTACAGTACTCGCGTGGTTACATAAATTATGTATGTGGACCCGCCCCCGTTTGGAGAATTCTTCTCTCCACCAGGTTTGCTTGTGGTGAGGTGTAGTGGAGTCTGTCTCCATATACTTGCTTATTCCACGACTGATAAAAATAACTCAGGTACCCACCACTAGCGCCGCCGCCGACGAGCTAACGTCAAGCGGTGTGGAATGGGAGTTGCAAACTTGCTACGATACTAATTCCCTGATGTGTACTTGAGTACCGGTATATCGGGTTTTATCGTTTCTCGGCTAAAAGTGAGGACGCTTTCGCATCTATCGGCTTAACTTAGTTGAAGCTTCTAGTATCTCTTAGATAGGGGGTGATTGAATGGAGGATAGAGGGTATGATATGATACAAGAGGAGAATTGGCTTCTGTTATACAGTACTACAATATCACATTGGAATGTCCGGAAGTCGGATTTTGAGCTTGTCTGGTGGCTGAAACCGCATAGTGCGCTCGTCGCACTGGGGGGGGGGGTATGTCGGAAAGACAGAGGCGCTCCACAGGTTGTGAAATACGCAGAGTATTACTAGCCCTCATGATATGATATCATATAAAGTTAGACTCTAGGAGGGAGGGGGAGTCTGGGGACTGTCGTGAGTATCTCTGCTCCTGAAATACCTCGCAAAAACAAGCTGCCACTGCTCAACGCTATTTCTACCTTGTTGTGAGTTGTGTCTGTGAGAAAGAGGGAGTCCTGTTGCCGGTGGGGGGATTGTAGGAAGCTGAAGACAATACTGCCGTTCAGGTACAACCCCTTTAGAAGGCCGGGGTATGTGACATGCTGGGGGGGGGTGGGGGGGGGAAACCCCCTATGGGCTTTTCCCCCAGGGGGGGGGGGGTTATTTGGAAAAGAAAGAGGCCCCCCCCGGGTTGTAAAATACGCAGGGTTTTACTGCCCCCCTTGTTATGATTTCATAAAAAGTTAGATTTTGGGGGGGGGGGGGATTTGGGGGACTTTGGGGAGTTTTTCGGCCCCGAAAATCCTTCGAAAAAAAAAGCGGCCCCTGTTCAACGTTTTTTTTCCCTTTTTGGAAGTTGTGTTTGGGAGAGAGGGGGAGCCCTTTTGCCGGGGGGGGGATTGTAGGAAGTTGAGGACAATACTCCCGTTCGGGTACAACCCCTTTAAAAGGCCGGGGTATGTGACATGTCGGGGGGGGGGGGGGGTAGAAGTGTGGCTTACTCTATTTCCAGTCTACGGCACATCATTTGGCTGGGAGTGCCCGAGGGACTGGGGAAGCAGCCATATCACCCTACCCCCTACTCTATAGGATTGGAAAGTACCTTGAGTACTCGAGAGAAACAAAGTACGTTGTGTCCATACTAGTGCTGAGGCTTAAACTGGGTTATGGTACAGTACTAGAGTACGTGCCAACATTACGACGGTGCCGTACATAAGATGTCACCCCGGATAAAACGGATAGGGTCGGTGAAACTCCAATCTACTCGTACTGGGCCGTCGCCCTGGCGCTGGGGATAGTACGAGTAAAGCTACTGCTAATGCGAAATGATGTCAACCCTGACAGGCCAGACACGGTTCTTGACTAAACAGGGAAAATGGACAGCTGCCGGAAATGGGTATGAGGAAATAGTGGAGTCTCTGCTAGCAAGGAAAGATGTCGACCCCGACAGGCCAGTCTCACCTCATGGCCAACACCCCTCTCGATAGCTGCCAAGAAGGGGTGTGAGGAAATAGTGAAGCTATTTTTAGCACGAGAAGATGTCACCTCTCCCGAAGTCTTCTAATAGGTCTATGACGGAGGTTTGCAATCACGGCATAGAATATACTTTACTCTTGTTAAAGTCATCCCCTTCACCTCCCCCCCTTGTCTCTGCTTTCCCGTTCTCTCTGTTTAGATATCCATCTCATGGACTTCCGCGTGTATTCTTCTGAGTTGTTATTACGAGTCTTGCTGCTTGCTCATCACAGATTATATGTGACCGCTACCCGATAGCACGTAGGTGTTGTGGTATGATATCTTAATCATGACCTAGGGTGGGGGATGAGTGTTCAGCAGTGGGTGTGGGAGCCGGTACGCTAATTAAGGGAAATATCATGTGGTGGGGTTTCGCTGGGGGAGGGGGATAGTCGATAAGGCCTGAAAATGGCTCTTTCGTTTGATGGTGTTCTTGTGGGCTGTTTCGCAGGCTCTGTCTGAATATGCTTTCCCCCTTTGTCACTCCATCACACTTTTGTTGGCTCGTTTTTACAAGCATCTAATGTCTGAAAATTAATGATAATTCACATTATATGCAACTACCCTTAGTCCCGTACACATCTTCCGCATTGTATAAAAAGGGGGCCCATCTTAAAAAAACCAAAGTTACACTCTTTCCAGTTTGATCCCACGGGAGTGGAACGCCCATCTATACCATCTAGTCCGACGTTTTGCAGGTATGGTACCCCATCACGGCCGGGAGCTGAAAACAGACCCCTACGTACTTACTTTCCATTCCTGCTTCCAGATGAATGAGCGTTTGCCATTTATTCATCCCCCGGCATAACCCTCCCGTCAATCAATCAATCAACCCCCCCACCCCATCCGGCTTAGATATCAGCCCCTGTCTCTCAACATACCAACCGGCTAACGGTTAAAATACCTACGGTATAGTGGGGCGCAGAGTGGCGGTGAGAAGTAAGGCATTTTTTAATTTTATTTTGGGTTTGTAACTGAGAGGCATTGGGATAACTTATTCGAATTCGATTCGGGTATCGCAATACTCAACGAGTCGATTATTCGATGATTTGGTACACTGAGCCTCCCAAGATTGGCTACGGGATATTACAATACCGGAAGGACTATCGTAGAATAATTGAACCCCGCGGTAAGGAGTTTAGAGTTCCCTCTTTGGATGAAGGAGGGGGGAGGGTAATCACTACTGAATGGATGTTACTGACTTTCGGGCTATAGCTTGGACAGATAAAAAGGAGAAAAATACAACACAACTTACTAGGACACGCCATAGCGTGAGGTTCGATTATTATTCCAGTTGCGGTAGTATATTTGGGCGCCGGGAATGGACTCATTCCCTAAAGTAAGTCCTTACTCTCTTCAAATTAGTACCAACAACTCCACTGTCACGGTATTGGGATGATTATGTGTCTCACTCGAGAACTGTGGAGCGATTGTTGAGAAAGAGGACTTGGGGGGTATTGATAATGACACTGGTACGTAAATTCTCGTTGGTGATTAAATCATAATAATTATCAAAACGTATCATACCATTTTACTGTAGTGAACCCATCATCACTAGTCACTCGACTTCGTGGCATAATTGAGCCTCCTAACGGTGGAATTTCCCCCTTCACTCGATATGCGAAGCACTCCTGAATTCGGTGTTCATTTTGCTTCCACCTTCTGGAAACACTGTGAGAGCTATTCGTGGGTCATTTACCCCGACAACTCCTGCATATATCCTGATGAAATACAGTTCTAATATCATCCCACCACTGCTCTTATGAGTAGGTGTTTCCCTCGGCTTAATATTCCGGGACAAACACCATGGCGTTATCTCTTAGGAATTATGGCTGAGTGGGGGTAGTGCTTGGCGGTGACTTGTCGGCTGTGTGGGAGCTGGTGAGTGAATAGAGGGCTTGTTCGAGTGGGATGAGAGCGGAGGATAAAGGGGCCTTGAATGTTTTCGTGCTTGTTGGGTTCTTTTCTGGCTCCCTCAA